GGCCCTAGCACTGACACCAAATTCTGCCTTTTTGCATCACCAACTAGGAATCTGCTACAGAGAAAAAGTGTTTCAATTGCAAAGAACAAGAAATGCACCTCAAGATGAAGTGGAGAGACTCATTGAACTTGCCATTTCTCATTTTAAATTTGTGGCAGACCAAAAGAAAAAATTTGTTGCTGCCCATACTGGCCTAGCAAACGTGTATGCACTAGGCAAGAGATATGAAGAAGCAGAAAAGATATTTCAGGAACTGTTTCAGAGAAATAATCTACTCTGTCATGAAAAACAAGAGCTCTACTACAATTATGGCAATTTTCAGCGTTTTCACATGAGGTCAGTATCAAAAGCCATTGAGTATTATATAGAAGGGCTGAAAATGAAAGAAGAGTCCTTTGGAAGAAATAAGTGCAGTGAAGCTGTGCAGAGATTGTTAAGACAAAATTTTGAGAGAGGTTCAAGAAATGCAACAGATTTTGGTACACTTGGACTCGTTCATAAGCTAAATGGTGAGAAACAAAAAGCAATTGAGTGCTATGAAAAAGCCATTGCTTTGGATCACAATAATGAAGAATATCAGAATGCATTATTTGAGCTACGACTCTCTATCTCAAGCTGAAGTTCACAAAAAACCTTCACACCCAAAAAACTCCAAACCCAAGGACATTTCAACAGACTCTCTAAACTTTTTTTTTTGTTGGTTGGTTGGTTTTTGTCTTAAGGTAGACTTTATGACCAGATGAAACATGGGTGGTATCACTTTCTGATCATAATGTAGAAACTGCAGACAATGACTGTTCATTTGTTCATTTGCTAACAGAAACCATGCTTAGATAACTATATAATATAACATATAATATATAATAATAGCTATACAATAATAGCTCATCTAACTTAGGTCTTCAGTGCTAACACGGGTCTAAATGCTTATCAGTAGAACACAGAACTTCTAAGCTAAAAATGAGATATTACCTTCTACTGAGAAAAAGATAAGGGAATCATATGGTAGTATCTTGTCTAGATAGTTGAAAGGCATGCTTAAACCAAAATGGAATTTCTGATGCTTTTTCAAGTATTTCAAAAATATCTTTTGTAGAAGGAACTTTTGTTGAAGGCTTGTTCAGTTTACTAACTTGTATGCTGTTTATTATGAAAAATATTAAAAAAGCATTGTTCACTGTAAAGCTTACAAAATGTGTATTATTGTTGTGAACTACGAAAGGGTATTAAATCCATCAACTATTGCTTCTGGTTTCTCTCTGCTGACCAGTCTTCCTGTTAGTAGATTAGGTAAAAGGAAAATGGCCATTTGAAAAAGTAACAGGGATCGAGTTTTGGCAGGATATGAAAGACTCAGTAGATAACCCCATTTATTTTCCCTGGGGTCTCAGCAAAACTGGCTTCAGAGGCATCGCACCAGAGAATCAAACTGTGCACAAAACAGCACCTGTCTTGTTTACCCAAAACCACACTACCAGGAGCCACTACAGCAAACATCTGGAGAGGGAGGAAAGGCAGTCCCTGAGCTGCCAAAGAGATGGCTATCTGTGGCCGTGATTGTGAAACAAGCCAGGGATAGCAAACACACACAAGAAGTGAACTGAAGTGGGCACCGAGGGCAGAGCACAGCTGGAGACAAGAGTTGCATGAGCACCAGAATGCAAGGAGCATGTGGAAAGTGGGGTGGGTGCCCCCAGAGTCTAGTGAATGGGATAAAGGGCTGAAATGACAGAATGGGTGGACACGGTGATCATCTTCAGATATTTAACTAAAAGTCAATATTCTTTACAACAGCCCAGCCTAATTCCGCAGTAGTGTGCCTTCGTATGATAGACCACGGTGCTCAGGGAAAACTAATGCTGTAATTCCAAATCACTTCTGAGCCCTAGCCAGTAGTGTAGCATGAAGCAAACCGGTGACAGAGCCCATGTCAGGAAGGATGTGCACTTTAGTTCCCAGCCATCCTGCAATATTCCTGCCCTGTATGGACAAAATGAAAGCCTGAAAGAGTGCAAAGCACAGTGCCAGATCAGAAAACATGAATAAACCTCTTCCTTCTCAGCTCTCCCTCAGAGACTCTTTCATAATACAAGCAAAAGTGATCAGGAGCTTAACAGTGTACATAATACAACCACACCTTCTGCATAAGAAAGGGCTGGGGAAAAATCCATCCTTGTTTCCCAGCCACCTGCCAGGCTTCTCTCTTACAAAGGCAGCCCCACCTCAGAAAGGAACAGTGAGGAGAGAGAAGAGGAAGGACTGGAAGCAGGACTGACAGAGCACTCCTGGAAGCTGGTAGGAAGAACAGCGGGGTTGAAGTCAGGAATTAGTGACTACCTATGGTGATGTGCTCAGCTATGTGGGCAAAAGGTGTTAGGTGATCACCTATGTTAGGTGATCTCACCGCCTTTCTCAATCTTGAGCGTTTCTAAGCTCAGCATCATTGCTATCCAAACCCTACTGAGGGCATAGGGGGTGGAGGACAGCAGAGAAGGATCTGAGGAAGAGGTGGTAGCACATCTATTCTCCCCTCCACATGCTGCCACCAGGACCTCTCCTGGGAAAAAAACCTTGCAAAGGAAAAAGGATAAGCTCTAAATTATTTTGAAAAAAAATGTGAGCTGAATTCTTATGAAGAGTCAGAGTGGTTCAATCTTCTGCACAGCAAATAAAATGACTGTGGGACATAGTGATGCACGAAGTGTATTTGTTGTGCCTCCCTTCCTTCAGATTCTGAAGGACTGAGCTGGACTACAAACACCCTTCTGCGTGTCTTGTAAATGAGGAGAAATGTTGTCTCCCACAGGGTGGTGCTGCTGCGCCGCCTGGCATAGCAACACGGGGAAGAGGCTAAGCTTGAGCTTTGGGAGGTGGACAAAATGACAGACAGTTTGGAGCATCCAAGTCCATTGGGCAAAACCAGAACCACATAGAAGCTGAACCCCTCTCAATTCGCACCCAAGTATGAATTATATCGCTGGAGCCTATGCTAGTGGTGCAGGGAAAAAATGACGTAAGATAACCCTTCAGGAAGTGTTAATTTACGAATCAAAAGCACCTTCTAAATTATATAAAAATACTACTGAAATATACCAGAATAGTCACTTAGAAGAAGGCATTGTTTATCGAGGCAATCCCAACCAGGACTTTGCTATGCTGACCATGAAGGACTGTAACAACTTCACTTAAACAAGCTCTTTCTTCTCACATAAATTTGTAACACTTTAGAAAGCAAACAAGGAATTATTGTGGCAATATAAAATATATTCCCCATACAGTAGCACAAACAGCCCTTGTTTTTCAGAAGATAAATTATTATCCAAGCTGAAAGGAATGCTTTAAGGATGTTTCTTCTGAAAAAAAGAGCAATTCTTCAGCGGAAGATACTTTTCCAATGTTATCGTCACACAATTTTTCAATGTACAATTTATTAAATGTCCCAGATTATCACTAGAACATAAATAATTTCATAAATTCTAGAACATAAATAATTTCAAAAGAATTACTACTAGCCCAATTCAAACTTCATGGAATGGAAACAGATGGCATAACTTCAGCAGCTGTAAGCAGTACTTACACTGAATTTCCATCTACTGCACAGAACAGAGCATTATTCCAGGCAGGATTCATCTGAGGTAGAATCTTTCTGTTCCTGTCTCGGACAGATCTTACCCCAGTCAAGTCAAACCACGCTATCCTGGGAAGCCAGACAGGCTCAGCAGTGCAGTGCTCCATCCAAGCTCATATCCATCGATACTTGTATCCATCAGGGCTGGCAGGCACATAGAATTACATGATCACTAAGGTTGGAAAAGACCACTAAGATCACTGAACATGCAGCATAAGCCTGGCAAATTGCTCACAGCTAGCCCAGCTATCTCACTTTACTGCTGCACTGTGCCATGCCAGGAAATCTCCTCCTTGAAGGACAGCCTGAATATTATCCTGTCTGAAAAAATATTACAGATACAATGAATCATTCTTTAAAAATACTGTAAGCCAGAGACTTCTACAGTGCGTTTCCTGAAATATATCATGTGGCAGGATAAAGATGAACTGTTCAGCTTGGGTTGTGTGGATTAGGAGGTAGAAGTCTGGTGTAAGGTTTCACCAGCCTGAATTCTTCTGCTTGCAGGTTGTTACACTTCCTTCTATTTCTTAGTGGGGACATTCATGACAGGGCTGGTATTTCACAGTGTGTTTTATGCGCAGAAAGCATCATTTTGGTATATAAGCTTTTCTCCATTGACTTAAGTCAGAGCAGAAACAGTGTTAGAAAACCTTGAAAGAATTCTACCATTTTCTGCAAAAGGTCCGTGTATAAAACCAGTTGAATGTTTGTTGCTAAATAAGATATTTAAAACAAGAAGTACTACTTTAAACACATATGGGGAAAAGCCAATGAAAAAAATATCTTGAAATAAAAAAAATTAAAAATGCTACAAATGTATTACACAGTATAGTTTACACGATAAAAATGCATGTCACATTATTCCAATAGGCTTTTACAATATGCAGCTCTGACATGAACAACTAGTGACGTGTTATGATGTGGTAAACAAAGTAATTAAATTTTTGTAAAGTAAATAACAGTGGTTATAACTTGTTTAAAATTACTTATATTCTTTGTAGACCATACTATGCCCCACTTCTTTACTACTAAAATATTGCATTAAGATCTAAAAGATTATCTTCATCAGTAGTAATTAATAAAACCACTTCATTTGTTCCAGATTTGCATATTTTTCCTAACTCACTAAGAAACATTCATGGAGGATTTTTGTCTTTTTTTAATGAATATATCTTAAAAACAATATTAGGGACCAGGACTCAATTTTCATGCAGAGCTGAAGAGAGGTTATGGCATTACCTTTAAGCAGTTTTTGCACTCCCATCTCTTATTCTGTGGTCTGTGCACATATATCATCCTACTGGCTCTGACTACACTTCTGAAGCAGGGCAGCGAGAAATGCTTTATTTAATCACAGACAACGGAAGTCAAACAATTTTAATATTTTATATTTGAAATATGCTTGAATAATAAAACTACTTGATACACATGCTATTCATATATATATATATATTAAAAAATACATTATACCCCTATGGCTGTACTCTTGATCTAAATCAGCTTCATGAACATCAGTTTATGTTGCTTTCCCTTCCGAGGCACAGGGTGGAAAAGGACACCATAAGCAGCCACTGAATACACTGCAGATGATTAACAAAACTGCTAGGTCAGTGTTAATGAAAATTATTTGGACTCTGATCAATTTGTTAATGAACAGAACACAGCTTTATACAGCATCAAAATACTGAGATTATTTGTACTGCGGAATGTGAAGTTCCTCCATTGTTGACAACATTTTCATTCTGAAAATGTAGAAACATCCCATTATTTATTAGGTCAGTAATTTAACCCACGATCTACATTCAGACCCTAGCTCCTGTGAAGCAGCCAGCTGTAGTGAATTCCTCTCACAAGTAGCAGGGAACCACCACCAAGTCGCAGCTGTTGTGTTCTGGCCATCAAGGACAAGTGACCTGACATCTCTTCAGATGGCACAAACGACTAAATTGCACCATCTGAAGATACAGCTCCTGGGGCCAAAAGGAGAAAGACTTGCCACTGCAATACACAGCACAATTCTCTTTAATCAAAGCCTAGAGAGGGAGCACTCTCTGTCATCTGGTTGCATAGACTCTGAAGTTCTCCAACAGCTGCTGATTTTACAAGAGGAAGAGCCTCTGTATTTGAAAGCACATGAGCCTCTCCTCTGGTCTCCTGGGCTGCCTTTAGGATTCTTCCAACTAATGCAGCTAAAGCAGGTTTGTCTATCAGCATGCCTAGTCCTCTGGCACAAATTTACTCCTTTTCATATAGCAGAGCTGCCACAGTACCTCTTCCACCCTCCAAGACAAGGATCAGCTGGAAAATCATATCTGGGATTTCAATTTTTAGAAATTCAAGCTTTAAAGACATCCAGGAGGAAAAAAAATATTTATTTTTTTTTTCTGTAGAGGGCTTGGGAAAGTAGGTCTAAAATTATATTTGAAATTAAATTGGAATGTATATACAAAGTTCAGGCACATTGTAAAAATTAAAGCTGCTCCAGAGATACTTTCAGCATAATTCACATGTGGAGGTTTTTTGGTGGTGTGTGTTATTAGTCCACTGAAACATACTAGACCACAACATCAAAAAGCTTGGGTCATTAATGATACTTTTTAAATAATGTAAATGTTAGTGTTCAGTTTTGGTGACTGATTACTTTATCGTTTTCTGTTGAGTACAGCCAATTGTTGATTACCTGTGGAGTGGACACTGCATTTCAAATAAATCTGTGAACATTTGTATCTACAAACTCTATTTTCATTCTAGCTTTCTTCTATTACTGCATTAACTTGGTATTACTGTTGCTGTATGTAGATTTTAGTCAACTAAAGCACGACAGAAAAATCTAATTGAAAGATGCCTCGGTTCACAGGAGTAGTATCTTCAGCAGCATAACACTACGGAGCCACCTCTGTCTCAGTCACGGCTGTGTCCTACTGAATCTTGATGGCACTTGTCACCTCTTGCTGCAGCTGTTTGTGTCCACAGCCAAAAATTCAACATCCTTTTGGTCTAATTCTGCTGTGACAGAATAAGCTATTGCTCCATTTGTCCACATGTGCTGTTTCACGCCTGTATCACTGGTGAGCGACCGCAAATGTGTTCTTTTGATTTTCTTTGCTAGTCTTGCAAAGCACAGTAGTGTTGAACTAAATATCATAGAAAATCCACACAGGAGGAATGATGCAGTATAGCTGCCAGTTGTGTCCACCAGCCAACCTGTAGGAAAAAAAAAAAAAGGGGTTTTAAAGATCCATTAGTATTCTGATAATTTCCAGATCCTGTTATCAGTGGGAGTTTTATAAACTTATCAACTTGTAAATTTACAAGTTACCACATATAAATACAATTAAACAATCAATCGTAGGGCAGGGAGGGATTTGTCCTCAGCAGACAGATAAGATTTTTTGGGCTCTTGTTTGGAGCCTCAAATCTCAAATTCATGAGAAAAGGCACAACAGTCATCACCACAAAACTAAATAAACTGCATGGATTTAACTGGCAGTCTTTAGACAGGCTTACAGAGTCCTAGGATTAAACAGTGTGTGCATCAGATCCTCATAAAGAAACAATTAGTGAGCTATGCCTTGGGCTCATGCTATTTTGCAATAATTTTTACTATGGAAAATAAAAAGCTTCAGAAGCAGTGGGAATTGATGTGAACAGCAGACAAAATACGCAAGACATATATATGTACTTGGCTGTTTGAAAAAGATCTCTGACCTTCTACAATATTAAAACTGTGTCAAGTTCTTTCTAAAGACTAATAGGAGTACAGCTCTCATCTTTACTTCATTGTAATGGAATCTATGGGAAAAATGATGATTAGATATTACAGTGATGAGCTGGTGACCAAACAGGAGTGGAGCTGACTCACCCACTTGTTCAAAGCAGTTTGGAGGTTAAAAGATAAGTCCTCCACACCAAAAAAAAAAAAAAAAAAATCTTGGAATTAAACTTCCTTTAGGTTACATTTTCAAAATCTGGTAATTTTACAATGTAATATTTTGCTCCTTTTACTTGCACAATTCCTAAACTATGTGATGACGGTAAGAGCTCTTAGAAGCTCATTCCATACTGGTTTTGTTTTTAAATTTCATCTCACTCTATATGTAGAAATTATCCCATCAAGACAGGGATGGGAGATCCAAAGACTTACAAAGATCTAGGTGTGTGTTATTTCCCTACTCAGAGGCTACCTCCACATTTAGTGTGCATTTGCTGTCCTTCCTCTCCTGTTACATCACACTAACAGGCGAATCTGAAGTACTGATAAGATTACAGGAAAGTCATTTGGGAACTTACCTGCCACAGGCGGGCTCACTAGATATGGTATGGCATGCAGGAAATACACAACGCCCAGTGCTGATGATAATGAGGAAGTTCCCACTACATCTGCTGTCATGACGGGGATCAGCGTTACATAGGCTCCATCAAAGTAGCCAAAGGTAAATGAGAAAGGCACAAGCAAGGGGAAGTTTTGGAGAACGGGCAGGAAAAGACAACAAAGGCCATCCATTCCCACAGCAAAGAGGTAGCAAAAGTACCGATGCTTCTTCAGACACCTGCAAATTTCAAAACAGAAAAGAAAAATATCACTGAACAAAGCATCTCAGTTTCTATGCCCTGGCATGCAGTGCTTCAATCTCTTTCTTACATAGCTCAAATTTAAGTCCATTTTATTACAGTCTTCAAGATTAAAAACTCAGTGCTGATGAGCCCAGATGGGGAAAGCTGCCCACCTACAGCTGCAGAAACATCTGGCGAGCAGCAGTCCATGCTGTCTGCAGTGTTCTTCAGAATGCTCCTACCGAGGGAAGCCACCCTGCTGCCAGGATTCTGCAGTCCTCTGAAGTCTCAATGTTTGAAGCAGTATTTCAATGGGCTTTGCATCCCAGCTCAGCAAGATGTTAAAGTATTATACATAAAATACTGCAGTATACCTCTCTTAGCTGTAACTCTTCCAATCAGCCCTTAAACATGAATTAGCGTGAGCTAAGCAAGATGGCAATTCCCTTCCTCCCTGTTCCAAAAAGCCAATAATTGATTTTTCCCACAAACTGAATAAGCACAAGAATGCATCCTTTAGAATCAAAATCCCTGTTAATTTAGCCAGAATCTACTGATTTACAGTTGCTATACACTGATGTTTGAAGTGAGCTGAGTTCACAAAGCATGGCGAGTTCTTACATACTGGAAAATGTACAACAATTTTCAGTCAGTCCTTCCAAGTATGTGTCTGACAGTGTTGGGCCAGACTCTTGACCCTCTTCCATAACTTCTGTGCCTCCCAGCAGCACAAAAGAGATGGAAAGTCAGAGGAAGCAGGGTGAAATCCTCTAGGAAATAGATACAAAAAATCACTCTCAACATACCTGAGGCAGGGGGTTGCATTTCCACTGTCAAATGCACAAACATAATTTCTTCAGGAAAAAAGATCTTAAACCAGCAAAATTGAACAAACATTAAATAGTAAGCATTTCTGATTTCTGAAAGTTAAGACTGTGTGTTAGTTTCTTTTTTAAGTTGCACGTTACCTCACTTGCATCCAGACTCCCACCAGCTAAAGCTTACATTTGCTTAGTTATGAACCCTTACCTTCTGTCTGTTAGCCATCCAAAGGTGACATTACCAATGATGTCTATGACACCAAGTATGGACATGAGGAAGGCAGCCTGGTGATGACTCACTCCAACACTCAAAGCATAAGGCACCAGGTAGACAAAAAGAGGGCTACATCCATATGCCATAAATAAAACTGACACTGCCAGCACCATGAAGCCTGGCATCAGTAAAAAGTCATATTCCTTCCATGAACAGTAGCATAAACAGTCACGAGACCACACTTTGATTAAAGGTGAACAGACGGACATTTGCTTTAAGTCTTGTTTCTCTGTTTCGGGGACACGATCCTGTTCAAGAAACTCAGGAACAGTTTTACGATCCTCCTTAAGAGAAATGGGCCGCATCAAGGCGCCACAGACACAGAGGTTTAAAACAAAACCTCCCAGGATGAGTAAAGCTCCACGCCAGGAAAACTGCTCAATTAAGAGCTGGACTACGGGGGCCAGGATGAAGGTACCAATTCCACTTCCTGACATGGCTATTCCATACGCCAATGCTTTTCTTTTGTTGAAGTATTTGCCCACCATCGCAATAGCTGGAGAATAACAAAGTGCAAACCCAAGTCCTAGAAGAGAAAGCACAGTACAGATGGCTTAATACTAAGCATGACATATGAAACATATTAAATTAAACCACCTAACGTATTTTCATTAGCACAAATGAACAGAAAGTTTTTCCGATTCTGTATCATGCAGCCAGTCAAGAGTGCGATGAGAAACTAGGATGACTTCTTTCTTCCAGTGGCAGAGTCACTGTCTTGACAAACCTAACTTATGAGCACTAATCTACGATAATAAGGTTCAGAAATAACTGACAGGGTTCACTTAATAACAAGGATGATCACTAAACATCAGAGAAATTTTGTGTCAGCCTCTCTTGCATGCAAGATGAGGTCTCGCCCCAGGGTCTGCACCAATGCTGGCATTGGACACACTGTCCTGATGAGGCACCACTTTGTTTTTTGGTCTGTTGCAACCCTGAACATTAATTTTCAGGTCTCTGAAACACAGTACAAAGAGTCTGTCTCTGTTACTAATATTCTACAAAAAACTCTTCTTGGTCAGCTAAACAAACTCTGTGGAACAGCTGCTTGGAGCCTTGACCATTTTAAATCCCTGCCTACAAGTAAAGAGGGGAGAAAAGCCTCAGAAAACAAAGCCAGATCCAGTTGAGTAAACAAATAAGATTCATCTCTTGGGCTGAGAAAAAGATTGTGGTCTCTGCTGCAGAACCAGAGAGCAGATTTTAATCATCATGTGGTTGCTCTAACACTAAAACTGAATTTTCCCAATCAGTCATGGAAATGAGTTCCTGACTAGGGTTTTGGAGCATGTCCTACATTGAGGGTAAAACAGACCGACTGCCAAAAGCAGAGATAATCACCCTGTGCTGTAACCAGCTTGCCATGTCCTCCTCAAAGGCCACACTGTGTAGGACAGGCACTAAACCTGCCAGGATGGAATAAGTGGATTAGAGGGACTCCAGGCAGCGGGTGCCTGGTCTGGCACCCCTCAGGAGGTGAGGCAAGAAGCAGGGCACAGAGCTGCGGCTGGACCTGCACAGGCACCAGCGCCTGTACAAAGGAGCAGCCCTGAGCTAGACATCATCATTTGAGACTTGTGAAAATTATACTCTATTTGGCATACGTGCCATTAATTTTTTTTACTGAGTTGGCAGGGGGAAACATCCCAAAAAAAGCCAATCAATGTCCTGTGAAAAGTGCAAATGCAAAGTTTAGGGCTGAAAACATTTTCATACCTCTTAGAAGGAACTGTTAATTATTGACACTCCCCTGTCTCACCTCTGCTTCACTCTTCACAGTTTTCAACCTCTGCAACTTTTACGGATTTAGACATTCACCCGTTATGGTCCCACCTCCTCTCTGGGTTGGGGGCATCACCTCTAGCCTTTACCAACAGTTCATGTCTCTGTCAATCAGTCCCCATATACTAGGATTTCACTGCTTTTCGAATTGGCTCTCTAACTTCATGTACAAAGTGCAACTGCTTTTCCACCTCAGTATTCACAGCAGATCCCAGTAACGAAGCCTCAGAGGCATTAGCATGGTATGTGGCACAGTCCCTCAAGTTACAAGAAGCCTTTTTATTTGTTATGAACACATTTGTCAAAGATTAACATTGTAATACAGGAGTGACATGCACTACAATAAGGATTTTTTTTTTTAAACAAATAAGCTGTTGGCAGCATGTGAACCTCAGTAATTCCACCAACTCATTACTAAACAGCAGGGGACCAAGTACAAGGTCTTATATCACCGTGGCTACCAGGTCAGTATTAATGAGGAAGGAATGTCAGTGTGACCACGGGCCCCTCTGAAGTTCCTCTGTGCACAACAAACACGGGCAGACAGGAAAGAGCAAAGATAGTTATTATCACCGTACCTGAACACAAATGGAAGAGTTGCTACAACAATTCTACCAACCAGCAATTTTTTTGTTTTTCAAATGGAATATAATGCAGACAAAAATCAGGTGCACAGCTGAGCTAGTGCTCCTCTGCCTCTTACTTACTCCTATGTTTTGATTTAAACGTTTTTTCCTAAATATGTAAATATTTTGGGGCAGTCTAGAACTCCTAGTTTAACAAACTCTTCTCAAATCACAGGCAAAAAAAGGAAACCTTTTATGTATATCACCTGCAACAGCAGTCCTTCTTGACCTCCCATTATTTCAGAACTTTATCCATAGTCCTCTCTCTAATAGAAGTTAGAGTTGCTTTTGCAGGGTGCTGCATTTGGGTTACATGAGACTCAGCGTGTGCTGAAGCTCTCACAGCGGCAGCCAAAGCCTCTCTTTTTCAATGAAGGGAACAGGTCTGAGTATCTTTATTAGACCAGTGGGGTGTCAATATGATGTGAAGAGATCACCCATCATGTGTTGTGTGTTCCTGGCAGCAACAAAGGGGCTGAATGCATCCTACCTGTAAGGACTCCTAATGATAAGTAGAGATGTTCCAGACTGGTGGCGAATGAGCTCAAAATTAGTCCAGAAGATGCAAGCAGCCCTCCTAGCATGATACCAACTTGGCAGGATACATGATTACTGATTAAACTCCCAAGTGGGGCTTCAAAGAAACAAACAAAGCTGGTAGTTAATGGCAGGTCTTCACACACAGTTCATTGCAACAGTCATAAAGGAAAAGCACTCAGGAGGCAAGCAGGAGAAAATGGTGACAGCAGCTACACAGAGCAATCTTCCAACATTCCCCCTATTGCAATAGTATGAGCACCAAAAACAATTGAAAAAAAACCTTCTAAAAACAGTTTTTCTGAAAGTCACAATAAAACTGAAATTTACAGTAGCTTTCTTAGAAGCCATTTTCATAGATCAAAATCATTACAGGACACAATCTGGAGTGCTGGGGTCAAGAGAGGCCACAGCGACAGCCCACAGTATTCATTACTCCACACTTAACTTAAAACACTCCAACCTTCTCCCACCTGGAATTTGCACTTCAGCTCTCAGTAACTTCAAGTGTTTCCCAGATATAACCTGGCTGACACAGGTCAGTTGGTATGTCTCATTGCAGCTGGGTCCCCCTGCCTTTCTAGCAATTCTCATGGATTAATCCTCTTCCACAGGACATGGATTTTCACCTAGCTGTATAGCTTGAAAGCAAACCCACGAGAAATTTGGTACAACTGCTGCATTTTTAGTGACACCAAATCTTCTTTTAGGGGAGAAGAGTAGTTGTAAATATACATGTATGGTAAAAGGAAGACGACTGTGACTTGATCTGGAGGCAAGATGTACATCCTGTGCTAAGTCTCAAATATGACTCCAACCAAAAGGCAAAAGAAACACGTGCTCAGTTAGTAGCTCTCAAACACGACATGACCCACAAGACCTCGACAAAACTACATTTCTGAAAACTTAGATCATTGCATAAGAAAAAGTTCTGCTGCTTTTCTTCAGTATGAAGACACTCCCTTCCTGCACATCTATGCTGATGGAAGCAGCTTGGATATACCATACCCCAGAGAGCCCATGGTATCGCTCCCAGCTGACTCCGCCAACTTGTGAACATGCTAAAACCAGATGGAACTGATGAAAAAGCAGCCACATTAGGCTTAAAAGGGTAATACACACCACAGAGCATTGTAGCACAGTCGACAATGGAGTGGATCCAAGCAGTTCTGGCATAATCCTGCCCAAAGTATGCCTGGAACTCCACAAAAAATATGGAGATGCACCTAGGACAAAAAATATGAACACAAATTTGTTGAACATGGAACATTTGCTCACAGAAAACACGGGTCTCACTGTTCAGGTATAAAAAGTACCCACTTGAAGGTCCTCTCCAGCTCCCAGAAAAATCAAATCTGTGGTTTGCCGATATGCCAACAAGATGGAGAAATGTTTAAACAGTTTCTAAGGGATATTGGCAGAGAAGATCTACCTTTAATGCATGAGGGACAGGATGGAATATGAGAACAATCCTTGTTTTGCACTGGCAACAACTGAATCAAAAACTGGTGTCCAACTATTATCTCAACAGTGGGATTAGACAATTAGGCTGATGTAGAGCCTAATTCAGACAATCTCCAGAGAGATTACAAATGTTATAATACCACATGTTTCTTGCTGGGGTGCCTGCCTCTAGTTTTTATAACTCACTGTATTTTAAACTTAAATGCAGTTGTAATTATCATCAGCAATTTATAGCCCATATTGTGATGTTGCTTCCCTGGAACATAAAGCCCTAGTTTTCCAATTCCTCACTGACCTGGTTGCTCGCTACTCCACACCTGCACAAACTGGCTAACGTAGTACCTACAGAGCAAACACTACCTACGTGTTCATGGATGGACAAGTGCAAAGCAAATCCTGACAAACAGAGAATCAAAACACCACAGGAGCCCATGGACCTTCCACATTTTAATAAAATGCTTCTAGGAGATGTTACTTTGCTCTGCTTAGCAAGTGTTACTGTTCTACCTGTCTCTGCAGGGCAGCAGATTAAAAGGCTGCATAGTTTCATCCTCATTCTGGGATCCACAAGAGATGCCTTTTCACTCTCTCTTTTTCCCTCCAGTAAATCAATGAATGACCACTTTCTTCAGCTTTTTTTCTTGCACATACTTCATTCTTCTATATAGTCTACTGTGTGTCAGCCATTAGATTACTTCTTGGATGTAACACATTCCACACATTAAAAAATAATTAAATCCGCTAGGAATTATTCTCTACTGCTATTATGGAATTGGTACATTTGCATACATTAACTAACACTAATCAGTGTTTCTACGCCTCTTTTATGATGTTGAGTCCAAAACCCTAGGCTTTAGATCCCTAAATCTGGCAGCTTTATTCTAAAAGAATTATGAACTTTAGGTAGGAAACACTATATTTACGTTATACTGACTGTCCAACAAGACACTGATTCAGTGTTCCTCGCTTACCAAGGTGCTTATCTATCTGCCTAATATAGCTTGAATGTCCATGTTCACACACACCAGGCTCCTCTGTCTCCGATCGACATCAAAGTCACTGTGGAAGCAATCTCATCCCAGATTGCATCACGTGCATGCAAGGCAGAAATCTATTCCTGTTCTATTTTTGAGAAATATTTTCTGCATATTTTGGATACCAGTAGGGTATAAAGAGGGGCCTCTTCTCTAGGGCTCAGACCTTCTCGGGCAGAACAGCACCTGAAGTGCTTGCAGTAGGAGAAGGAGGTATTTACGTGTTTTTCAGAGAGACTCAGGAAGCTAATTCTCTGGGACTAGTAAAAATGAGCATGGCTGTGGGGTCAGAAGGACACAGTGAACCCGAAGAGACCCTACATGATTCCTCCCTCCCCAGTCAAACTACCAGAGCCTAAAATAGCGCTACCTGCTCCAGGCCTTGATTCTGTAAGAAATCAAGGAGAGGGTGCTGAAAGCTAGAGCAGCTGTCAGAGGAGGCAAGACTAAAACCAGAGGGCTCATAATCCCTCAGCCATCCCCACAGTTTTAAGGGTTTCAGGAAGCCTTTAAAAATGTAACAAGAGTTTGTACCTAACCAGAATAACCCCGGCAGCTGTGGGACATCAGAGGAGATCTCAAACCCTCTTCCTAAGGTGAAAAAAAAAAAAAAAAAAGGAAAAAGATAATGCCACAAACAGGTCAGCAAGACAAGCAGCAGTTGTCTTTACCTTGTCACGGCCCTGGTACAGATAGTGACAAGGAAGCAGCCAGCAACGATCATCCATCCCCAGCCTCCATCAGGAGGGGCAATGTGCCGGGCCCGCTGGGATGAGGCCATGGTGATTCCTCCCTCCTCCTGGCCTCAGTGGCAGGGGCTGACTCCAGCCAGCATGCCAGGTGTGGGCCGGGGCTGCTTGGCATATGGGTCACTGGCCATCTGAGAAGAGAGAGAGAAAACAGGCAGACAGGGAGTCAGGGCACGTCGCACATGCTGTAACCTGCACGGCTGAGCAGGACATACTGCTTCGGCTCTAACGCACAAAAGTGGGAGTTTTCTTTCAAATGCAGTTTATGAAAATTTGTTGGAAACAAGAGGGCCATCAGAATTTGGCCCCGTGTCTGGTATCATGCTTTTCATGATAATTTGCCCAGCAGTTACATCCTAGCACACGATACCCTCTTCCCCACTACAAGTCACAGCACATAACATGTAAGTCACACACTTTACCACTGCCAGTCATCCATCTACCTTCAGCAGGCTCCCCCTGCTGATGCCAGTCCCTGGCCTGAACTGTATTTTCAATTGCAGTCTCCATTCAAACTATCTATTCTTCCTTGTAGGAAATTTAGTGCAAAATTTTTGTTTGAGAGAATACAGTTTTCACCTTTTTTTACTAAAAGGGAATATTCACTGCAAAATCAGAGCACATCTGATGATAAAATGACCTCCTTGTTTCACAAGCCAAACCCCAGATGAAGCCTGTAATCAGCAGGACACAGCAACTTCATTTTCTGAGCATGGACAATTCACCAAAGGTTAGCGCTAGCCTGTGCCTTTCTGCTATCCACTTAAATCAAAGTAGTGTCTGCATCCAGGCCACAAAGTAATCTCCAAATGCACACTGGATGCTGCAGGACACTGCAGGAGACCAAATGACACCCACAGGGCCCTAGGTGAGTAACTGAGTCATGTGCATTGGGGTACCTTTGCTAACACTTTGGGTGTCACCAGCAGCACAGGACCAACAGCCCTTAGTCCTTCTACATCAGTGACTGTATGGCAGGGCTTGATGGAGGGGCCTGAGACACCCCAGTTTACTCAGTGCAGGAACACGCAGTGCTGCCTGTCAGTGGTTGATTTCAGACCGCGTTTCTGCCATCATCAACAAGCCCTTAGCCCCTGGGTGGATCAAAGATTTATAAGACATAAGTAAACTACCTGGGATGCCTTTCAGTTTTGCTTGGACAGAAAGCTCAAATAGCTTCTACATCACCTAACTATGACACATACTAAATATGCAACATTTCTACTGACAAGAACCACAGGCCTCACAGGAAATGTGTCCTGTTACAGCATGTCAGAGATCTGCAGAACCACTCAAAAGGGCAATTCAAGAAAGCATCTATATGGCTAATAATGCACATTCTTGGTCCTTGAAGCTGCTCACACAGGTGATAGCTAAGGTTTGACTTCGGAAAGCCCAGAGATCCCTGACCCAAAACATCAAGGCACCTCAGAGCCAACCCTAAATATCACCACAACTGAACCTTTGAGAAATATTCATCAGTGGCCTTCCTGAGATATCAGAAGCTGCACCTCAAAACCATCACAAAATTATTTTAAGAAAACATACACAGATTGCCAAATTCAAAGATGAGCAAAGTAGGAGAATACAGATATGACAAAATAAACAAAAACCACAATATGTTGAAAGTTTATCTGAATTCCTACTAGGCTGTAAATAATACCCTGTAACAACACTGCACAAGAGAATTAGTGAACTTCTTTTTAAAAAAAAAAACTAAGGTAGTGTTTTGATTGCAAATGGGTAAGAAATTTTATCCTAATCTACCTGCTTGGCTTTCAAAGCCCAAGAATTGCAGCTGATCATACAGGGTACGATCAAGCCCTATGTGTTAACACAACTCAGTCCATAAATGTTAAAAACTGAAAAACCTAGTGCAACTTTCAAAGACAGGAGGTAAGTCCAAAAGTCAGGGGCTGTGCTGTCATATGAGGCATCACAACTGCCACGGGAAGTGAACAGTGAAGAAAACCGTTTGTAACCTCTGAACAAAAATGTGTGCCTGTCAACGCTTTTGAGCAGTGACTTCAGCTAACCACGTTTGAAACAATATGCTTGAAAAGTATCAGTGAATAAAAATATCCACAAAAGATCCCAAAAACGTATTATACTGCCATCCAGTTACACAATCTTAACAAGCTAACATTAAATATCTGTTCCAGGTCTTTGTGTACTCCTCAAGTACCATTTACTTCTCCCTCTGTGTTAGTCAGCCTGTCTCACACATTTTACATTAGGCCAAAAATGTTGTATGGTATTTGGAAATAAAAATTACTGTCCTATTTTCTCTCTTCATGTAATAGGCTTTGCTAATATTTATTTATAATTAAGTATTTGTACGCAGCTTTCTAATAATTCAGAGCCCAAAGAAATGCCCATTACAAGCACTAGAACATGTACTAATGCTGTTTTAGTATTCTCTTCTCCTCCATTGTCACAAACATCTGTTTTATTTTAAGTTAAATTGTCTTATAAAGCCTTTGCAAGGTCTGTGTTGTTCTCTGTGTTTATATGGAGTCTAGCACAATAGTGATTTTCCCTTCAGCATGAAGTACTACTACAATATAACCCACACTAATGAACCAGAAGAGAGCTCAGGTATGGTAAAAAGAAAAACTCTAATGACCTGCTTTGCTTCTCACTTCCATGGCTCTTTGGGGAGACATATAGTACTCTGCTCTGCCAGATTATGGGAACCATTCCCTCTTTGTATGAAGAACAGGCCACATCTCAGATGGGACATGTGAAATAGCTACAGTTTGGATTACATATCAATGGTCACACTAGCTCAAAAAGATCAAACAAGAATACAAGAGCTTTTGTAAGAAAAAAAAAAAAGGTATCTCATGGATAAAGGCTCCTCAGTGAGCTTAAAGGGTCCCAGCTGGATGCAGTCTTCACAAGTTCATTCCTACAGCTGATTAGAAAAATCGCACAAAGCAAATTAAACCCAAATGAGTTTATGATTTCAAACCTCATCTTCAAGGTATTCAATTACTAGGACTCATGTACATAAAAGATCAATGAAAGCTCTGGAATGGAGACCGGGACAGTTTGCCATTTCTGACACAACCTTCTAAGATACAGCAAAAAATGCCAATGCACCTGACAGAGCTTTCTGAGAAGACTCTACAGGTGCCCATACAACCAGCAGGACATCACCACCCACTTCACAAGCCTTGAACTTTACATTTCAAGCAAAACGTCACATTTTTTTACCTTACGTAATTTGCTTCAGGGCAAACATACAGCAGTGACAGTGTGTACCTGCACCCTGCTTTCCTCTCCATTATACTCTGAAACAAACTTCTGACACAAACACAAACAAACTGAGGAAAAAAGGGACAGCAGACTGGCCAATGCAGTAAAATGAGAAAGCATGTTTGTAGGCAAATATAGCACTATTCACAAAATCTGAGGGAGGATGAAAATGTCTGCAGTCAGAATTTAGATGCCAGGCACATGACACAAAAGACACACCTTGTGTATTTGCCTTCCAGCCCACACTGCTAATCTGTAAGCAGACCATATTTCTCATGTGCTGATTCTACCCAGGCAACAGACAATTTTGCAGGGTTTATGTTACATTTCGAGTAAGCTGACATGAACTAATGACTGGTTTTTTATTTTTAACTGATAGAGTCAATTATACATCCCTTTCCATACCGCTTCAAGCAACAACTGCCTTATGAAATATGTACAAACACTGGATCAACAAGTTATCTAATGGCTAAGGCAGTGGTTACATGATTCTTCATGTTGGATCAGTGAATGACCAGATCATCAAGTAGCACAGTTTGATGCAAACCACCACCACACCCCTGTCTACTTAGATGGAAAACAAAATTCAAGGCTTTTGTGAGTATCTGGGTCTAACCTAGCCACAAAAAAACCCTGCTGCTATCTAATCTAGCATGAAGCCAGAGTGGCACAAACCCTGATTTGGCAGTGAAGTCTGCCATTAACTTCTCCTGCCAAATTCACTTGAACAAGCAGAGCCAGTACCAGTGCTTTGCACCATGTGACTACCACATTTTGCATCTAAGACTAACAGCCTCAAAGGTGGATTTACTGCACTACTGCAAATTTAATACGTTATGTTCAAATACCTGGATGACTGAATAGCCCATAAGAATCCACGACAGCCACCTGAATTAACAGGGCACTCAAACAGTTCAAATTATTTAGCTCAAGGGTTTCCTGTCAATCACAAGTAATGTAGTTAGGTGGAGTTTTTATAAGCACGTGATAACCACAGAGGGATCCTGAGCAATTCAGACATACCTCTGCACCACTTTTGCAGGGTCTTGGCAAGGCTAAGCTTCTTATTTTGGATCTGAGCAGTATCCTTCATTGCCCCTTCTAGAGGAATGAAGGTTTTTTTTCAAGTTCTGATTATTAAGGGTGGAGGAGGAACTTCCAGGAATGCCAGAAGGGATAACAGTAACCATTCAATAAGCAGAAATATACACAAAAATTTTCAGAGGAGTCAACAATCTCCACATAAAGAGACCTAACTAATTTTAATGCACAAACAGCAGTAGCTGGGTGCCACAGCCTCAGCCTAGATCTCTGGCCCAACTTCCCAGGCAAACTTCAGATGGGGATTGAGGCCCTAGTTTGCATTTTAGCTGTACATTAACGTGCTTGGGAAGAATTTGATGACATATCAGGCTAAGCAAACACAGATTAGCTATTTGCTTACATGGTTACTTGCTGTTATTTTCCCAGAACCCTGCCTGCCAACATACATACAAACAGCAAACATTTAATGAGGCTACAAGCAACTGAAAACGATATTATAAGAAGTGCCTGGCCAACACAGAAATCGGCCACTCAGCCTCCTTACAGCAGATCAGTGCAAATCTCAACTCCTTGACTTCCCTCTCACTTCAAGGAGTACTGTGCCTTTCACAGCCACTAAACTAATAGGCAAGTTAAATAATTATCTTTCTTCCTGCTGCACATGTCTAAAAGCACTTATTACGTCAACCTGACGATTTCATTCTAAGGTTAGAAAACTTCATTTGCTTACTGTTTTCTAATTATTTTTATCATGGATAGACCAGATTGTGGACTCTGCAAGTGAAGCTGAAGAAGCAGAAAGTATACTTTGTCTGAGCAATCATGT